CTTTTTCCCTTTACGCAACATGGCCCCCGTGACGTCACGTGCAAACCAGCAATTAAAACGGAATCCATCAGGAAATTAAGTAATTTTCAGTTAACAAAAACCTTGTACCAGAATAATTTAAAGCACATTGTATTCTTTTTTACATTTTTCAAGGACTATACATGTAATTAGTTATGTGTAATAACACCAAAGAAAATTTCTTATGGCGGCCCGAGAAAATTTATGTCAAACTTAACAAAATGACAACTTGCACATGAAATTTTCAGAATTTTACCTGTGTTTTCACAACTCTTGTGAAATTTGAAACTCACTATCTCGGGCTCCTATAAGAAATTTTATTTGGTGTTATTACAGATAACTAATTACATTTCTAACCCTTGAAAAATGTAAAAAAGAATGCAATATTATTTAACTTATTCTGGTACAAGGGTTTTGTCCACTAAAAATTAAAATTACTCAATTTCGTGGTGGATTCCGTCTTAAGGCCATTTTGCCTTTCTCCCCTTCCCCTGACACATTCTACAAAACTTCATGAGACATAAATCTTTTTCATTCTATATTGCAAGTGAGCTTTTGTTAGCTGATATCGACGACTAGACCCGGCGCGGGGAGGGAGTTCGCATTTGAAAGGGGTGGGGATGCTCGTCGGAAATTTTTAATTAAACCCCTACAGGAGACCGATCTGGGGGCGTGGCCCAACCTTTTTTTGACCCATAAAAGAGACCATGTTAAAACACAGACAAATGAGAAAACTTGGTTTATATGAATGGAGTAAATAAAACGAATTAAAAATATACATATCAAATATATATTTTTATATTTTTTCGCGTGCAACGCTAAACAAGATCTTCACGGCTAAATATGATGGCGTTTTTCCCAGAACACCCTAAATGAGACCAAAATCCGAAATTTACACCTCTAAGCGAGACGATGAGCATCCCCACCACTTTCATATGCGGAGTCCCCCACCGGGCAACTACATCAACATTGGGTATTATTTCCACCAAAAGGATCTAAAAGGTATGGCCCCAGTTGTTCAAAAAGTAGATAACGCTATCCACCGGATAAATCACTATCCACTGAATAGCGCAATTGGTTTCCCTAACACTTATCCGTGGGATAGTGATTTATCCGTAGGATAGCGCTATCCAACTTTTGAACAACGGGGCCTTTCGTTTAGAATTGCCATTTGTCAGACCTTGGCCGGTGGGTAAGCGCTATTCACCAGGTGCTGCTCAGCATAGGGGTGGCTGATAGCATCCGTTTAAAGTTTTCTAAATCATATCCAATAACGCTACAATTTCAAAAATCCTAACTGCAAGATGAAAGACCACTCTCCTCTGGAATGCCAGAAAAAGATAAAAACGGCTGAAAGAACTTCAAATAGGGCTCAATGCTTCGCGGTGTCCGCACTGATCTACGTTTTTTCGGCCCGCCTGTATTTTTTCAGCTAGAAATGAAAGCTGCGGATGAAAAATGGAGTATTTTCTGTCCTTTTATATGTATAATCGTTTTTCGTGTGTGAATCTGTGGCTAGCCACCCAATCGAAAGCCTGAATCAATTCAGGTTTTTTACGGGATTCGAACCCGGTGCAGCGCTCTACCAATAGACCTCATTCACGATACTCGCCATCTTCGCACGCGCCTATTAAAGACTTACGGGATAAAAGCAATGTCACGTGGTTTCTTAGGGGGCAAACAAGTGATAAAATCAATCGATACAAGAAAAGACAGTCGAGTTTGTTCCAGACAACAGAAAAGAAAGAAATTTTTCTTCTTAAGACGACAATAGAAAAATTATGGGGGGAAGTTATCTTTGCTACTTTTTTTGGATGCAGTAGCGATCGTGGATGTCCTCACAGGAAGCTGTTATGGTGTAAAACTTGTCAAAACTCGAACTGTTCAAACATTTTGGCTGACCTAACAGAGTAGGGAGCTTTAGCAACGACGACCGCGACGGTAACGAGAACGTCAAAAAAGCGGTAGCCTTACATAGCAAAAAAACAACTTTGCTCGTGCATCACTCTTTTTTGTACATTTCTTTGCCGTTGCTGCACGACTACGACCTGAAAATGCCTAATTTTTCGTTTTATGGAGGACGTAAACAAGCAACGACGAATGTTCTTTCTCTTTCTAAACTTGACTGCGGTCCTCAAGAAATCACTTCCAGGGAGCTACATTTGACATTTTCAGCGCCTTGGAATAAACGAGACTTAGTTTGAAAAAAGGTGAATTCAGTTTAAGGGTGACGTTTTTGCTGCCATCGCGGTCGTCAATGCTAAAGCTCCCGTATCGGCAAATTTTATCACTTGTTTGTCTTCGGAAGTACCACTTGACATTTAAAGCGTGTACAAAAGATAGCGGGTACCGTGAATAAGCTACACTGAGCCAACTGGGATGGAGTAGGTTATTGAGTTGGTTCGTTAAAAGCCCAGAACATGACGATGAAAGAATGAAAAAGAAAAAAAAAGGGGCGTAAATCGGTACAGATCAATTAAATTTCATGAAATACCTTTAACATTTTAATCCATTTTCTCCTAAATATTTACCATAGAAAAAATTATGAAATCAATGGGAGCCCCCTTAAAAACGGGACTGTCGTGAAAATTATTATAAAAGCCCTGATTTTAGGCAACATGTTAAAACCTAGACGTGCGGTTCATTATCCACAGGTTCTTCTTTATGTGGGTACTTACTTTATCACATTCAGGCCCTACGAGCCTAAGTTAAAATTTGGTACAATTTCCAAACATTAAGATAAGTATTTCTGCGTGTCTTTTAACGCCCGGGAATAAAAATGGAATTTTAGTGTACGATCCGATCACTATACTCCTATTTGCAATGTTTTTTGCTTCAGAACTGTACATGTTTAGTAGAGATAACCCTAAAATTTCTTTACAATATGAAAGATATTCTTCATGTGTGGAGGGCGTCATAATCATAACAACACTCACCACTACTGCGACGATTACTCGCGCGGAAAGCAAGGGCTCAACTTGTTTTCGGTGGAATTGTTTGTTGCGCCTTCCTTTCCCCTAGGCAAATTTTACGCTGGTCCTGTTCTTTGAAAGAAACAAAGCTGATTAAGTGCTTGGATGAACACCATCCTTGAGACAATCAGGACGATGAATACCCCCACAGTTTTACGATGCCGACTGATGAGCTTTGTTTGACCTTAACTGATCTCTGATCTGTCTGATAAGCAGTTGTTTCAGCAACCATACAAAAGCTAACTAACACAAAACCGTAATGCTATTTAGTTCCATACAGGATTAACGTCCAAGACTCTAGTATGCCCGAATTGTCCTTTCCGTATTTCTCCGGGTCCACATAGTACGTTTGAGACGACTTACGTTTTTGAAATTGACGCGATATTCTACTCCGTTCTAACTCGTCCTTATCTTCACTGATTTCAGTGATTTCTGCATATGATGCCAGTGGAGTGTCCGAATAGTCCTCCACATCAATATCTTCATCTTCTGGAGAAAGGCTCCGGGCAACTCTAGAAATATCAGTCTTTCCATCTGCGATCTGAGCTTCTAAAAGCTCTAAGTCATTTATATCAGCATGATTGATATCGTCCCGAACACGGGCTAAAAAATCTGCGTTTGATTTTTTAGATTCCGGATCCTTGGATAAACGAGACAGCTGTTCTTCCAAAGCTTTCTGAAGGACCTCTAAATCTTTGCCACTGTATCTAGAGTCCGCATACTCCTGCTGATCACCGTTTGGATTTTTATCCTCTCTAAGAGACGATGATCGCAAAGAACTGTCATCTTGATCTTCAAAGCTTTCCAAAACACTGCCCCCTGAAGTTGACTTTAACTTGTCAACTGCAAGATAATGTGCTAACGTTTTGTCTTCCTGGTCTCTTTCAGTGTTGTGCGTGTGATTTTCTGAGCAATGAAGTCTTCGAGTGATAGATGAACCATTTTTTGGAAAAGCTGAGATGTTTCTGCAAAGACCTGTGTAATATTCATTGACGCTATCCGAACCAAGTCCAAATTCTGGACCTAAATCACCTTCCTCGTCACTTTCAAAAGCCTTTTTCATATTTTCAAAGAAACTTTCCCCATCTCCATCTTCGTATTGGTTGTCGCCTTCATCTCCGCCAGTTTCTGAAGATAAATTTACTCCCCCTTCAGACACTTCTGATATTTCTCTAGTTGTTTCACCAGAGCCAAACAACCCGGAAGCATCTTCTATTTGTGTTTTTCTACTTTCCAACAGTTTTGAATTCTCTAAATGCCAGCCATTGTCATTTCCGGATCCGCTTCCTTGAAGGTTTTCTCCACTTCCAGAGTCGATGAAACCTCCACTTCCTGAACTTTCACCGCCACTAGCGACTTTTTCTCCATTTTTCCTAAGCACTTTAAAAAACTGAATTTTTCCGGGTTTGATTGGACTCTTAGTTCTGCTTGATTCGAAATGTTCCGACTTTTCATTTGCACTTGTATCATTTCTTTCTTTTTTTGCGCCATTTAGAAGTTTGTCTAATTTTGCTTTCCGTGTGTCAATCTGATTACCATTGTTTAAAGACGACCTAAGTACGCTTGTCGAGTTCTTAAATCCTTTGATTTGTTTCCCATACTTTCTTGACGATAAACTTTCTTGGAATGTTTCGGCTAGTTTTGGAGAAGGATTAATTCCAAATAGTTCACCAATAGCAGGATTCTTTAATGCTTCCATAGCAATTTTGGTCACTAATGGATTTTTCTGAATTTCTAACACTAGCTTTGTGATAAGATCAAGAACCTTTTCATTTTCAGATGTGTTCAACACCTTTAACATTGAGGCATTTGATTTGCTCAAAGTCTTGACGAGAAAAGGGGCCACGGCTGAAGCCGTGTTCGGTTTTTCTTCTGCATTTTTTTGACTTGTAAAAACCGTCGTACCATCTCGAAATTTTTCCCTTAAAGTGACGTTTGACTTTTCATGTTTCATTTTTTTCCTCGCGGGTTTCCTCTTTTTCGACCAGTTCTTGTCATGTTTGATTGACTTTGAATTTTTAGGAGTTTTTTTCCTCGACACAACTGCAGTATTTTGCTTTGCTTTACCCATTTTTCTGACGATGTTTTGTCTATTTTTCCAATAATGTTTCTTCAAACTGGCCGAATGAATTTCTTTTGTCCTTTTATGATGTGTTGCCAACCCATTCTTTTTTATTTTTATTGCTGGAGGTTTATAACTTTCATGCTGAGATTTCTTTCTTTGGAGGTACTTCGAAAATCCAGGTCCGTTGAAAATCTTCTCAGCAGTGTCTTCCATCGTTTTCAAGACATGATCCTGCGCATGACCATTTGTGGCCTCCCGCTGAGATTCTCCCCTTAGCCGATGTTCTTCTGTCTCGTCCATTAAGACTCTAGTTACATCTTCCTCGTCTGCTTGTGTGTGCTTCTCCAGATAATGTTGACGGTTATTATTGTCATTGTCAGTAACAATTACAGTCCACGGTCCTCTAGGATCTTCACCCCAGCAATGTACAGTCATGAAAAGCCAATTCTGAAAATGTGAAGAAAGCTAGTTTTTAGTTTAATAATAAAGCATTGAAATACTTGACGGTCGAATATTCTCTCAGAGACTATCCAAAATGCCAAGGTTAAGAGGCAGCTGTTGGGAGGTGGTCCCTTATGACAGTCGAATTGCAGGGAGGTCTCTTTTAGGAACACATCGGTCTAATAGATGTACTTATCAGCTGATGCAAATTTTTCTTCCTTTTCATTGGCCGAGAGCCCACCATGTGATCTGCAAATAATTCCCACAAATAATGGTCTGCTCATGCGTAATGTCTTCCAACTGTGTTTGGCTGCAAATAATATTCTGCTCATGCGTTAATGAAACCACGCCTTTCTCTTTCTTGCAATCGCCCCTGTTTGAAAATGGCAGTTCGCTTCGCTGACCTTTTCTATAATTGATATAACTGATCTGCTCGCCACTGACAAAGCACGATATTTTGCTCAACGTGGTCCAGTAGTTCAGGTGTTAATTATGCGCCGAAGAGGAATTACTTCATACAATTTCTAAACTACGACTGAGTTTAGTGCCATGTCATCGAACGTGGCGTACCGCGGACGTCAAGATCAGACCATCTGTTAAATGCTCGCTTGACAGAAGTTATTAATCACAGTGAAAAGTTATAAAATCGTCACGGCCCCCAAACTCTAGTCGCTTAGGAGAAGTTTTAATTGAAGGGTTTTAGTTGAAAAAATTTTTGTGTTTTGGATATGTAGTCACATGTGATAATTTTAACCATGGATCATATTCAATTTCAGGTCGGCAAAGAATTTTGTTAACAAAAGTTTCAAAAAAGCACGAGCGACGTAAATTGACAAGAAACCTGAAAGACACTTTTCTACCTGCTACTGTAGTGGAACGATGAAAGGGAGTGTGATTTCAAAAATTACTAAATTATTGTAGGATCTTTGTCTATTATAACAGGGCGACCAAAAAAGTATTTTTCATTATCTCATACACTTTTTAAAACAAAGGTTGTGTTACCAATATGATACGTCAGAAAATAGGTCTGAAGAGTATTCAACTGATATAGAAGGCAGCGTGGCCGAGTGGTTGGAACGCTGGACTTGCAATTTGCAGGTCCCGAGCTCAAGTCCCGCCCTCGCCGCTAGCTGGATTTGCTCACGGTAGTCCAGAGTTCAAATCCTCAGCCACGCTTGTAAATAGCCAACTGATTTGCCTCCGGCCAGTTTGGATTCTTAATCCTGTTAAGTTCAATTTGAATTGTTTGTTTCAGGCATTTGCTGGGCCCCACTAGCATAAGTGCTAAAATACTGTCGAGGGTAAGTAACAGAATTATTATTATTATCTTTATTTTTTAGCTACCTTGATTCCTCTGGCCGAGTGGTCATTCCGCCTGGTAGTCAACAGCTGGCTTCTTGTCCCGGATGGTGAGATGAGGGTAATGCTTAAATCCCCTCGGTGACGGTGTTGCAATGTAACGTTTAGCTGCACGTGTTCTACCCTTCGTATTTCTGAGGACGTGCCTGAACATGATGAGGTGTTTGCTGATAGAATCAGACTTCCAGATGATGGAATGTACCTGTTAAAGTAGATCGTTATGTATGTGTTAGATGAGGATTAGACGATGAGAGTCAATGAAAGGTTGACTCATGACTCAGCGTTAGCTTGCATTCAGGATATAACTTCTAGTTACTTATGTGCATGCTCTCAAAGGCTCGGGTAAAACTTCGTCGTTCACATGAGCTAAACCTATTGCTAGTGATAGATGACGTGAACCGTAGAGATACAAATCTTAACTGAAGATACGATCATCGCATAGGTATTTGTAATTTAAGCAATTACAAATAAATTTTGGGACTTCAACGGGATTCGAACCCATGGTCTCGTCGTTAGCGCTGAAGTGCTCTGCCATTTGAGCTATGAAGACCCATACAAATTTGTTGAGTTCAATTTAAACGGTGAAACTGAGGAATGAAACATGAAGATAAAGTGAACTGCGGAAATACAAATTTTAAATGAGGGTCAACTCATGGAACAATACTGATTACAAATTACAATCATTGGACTGAACCAGCGAATGTCACATTAGTTTTCCTTCACAAACCTTTTTTTACTGTGCTCAGCTCCATGGCATATTCTTTGTTTCTCCACGTTCTTCCATGTAAGAGCCTTGTTCACCATTTTGCTAACGTCCAACCTTCCAAAACCAAACTTGTGGTTGTACCGTTTACCTGCGCCGTTGGTCTTCCATCCCTCATCCAGCGGACTTGTCACCTGTGATGACTCTACGATGACGTGCTGCACGTCACGCCAGGTTAACCTAGGACTAAAAGAAACAGCACATATTTTCCGCTAGGTAATGACCAGCCAAGACGTTGCAAAAAAGAAACAGCACATAGACGTTGCAGTAGAGTAGATATATTCTTCACACTTCATTTAGCTCCTGTAAGATAATTACTGTTAGTCTAGCCACTTACTGGTGGTAAGAGTAATAACAGGATGAGAATCACAAGCAGCTGATAAAATCTGACCATCAGATTGAATGCCGTGCCAAAAAAAAGACCGAAGGCCATTTGCACGATAGCGTCATTTTACTACTGTGACAAGAATCCTTTTTCGTTTTTCCAGTTATATCACAATTTGGTAATCACAGCAAGGTTAGAATAACAAAAGCAATAACTGCCGGACAAGAAAGTATTTTGAAGGATTCTGGTCGTAGGAGCAAAATAACGTCGTCATGAAATTGGCCAATTATAGACAGGTAATTCAAGAAAAAAGTCTATATCAATACAAAAAGCCTAAAATTTGCGTTTACTTGGGGGCCTTAAGATAAAATGCTAGCTAGTTCATAAAAACTGTTGACCAGTCTATATGGCTACAGAAGATTAAGTAAAAAGTGTAAAAAGGCTTGCAGTTTGACGAAAGCATTATTTTGATTACGGTTTGACGATATGTACGTACTTCGATTCTAGTACAAGAGCCAGCATTCCTGCGGCCAGTGGGGCTGCGGAAGATGTGCCTTTGAAGACTTCAGTGCATTTGTGATGTAGATCCGTGGTTACCTAAAACAGAACAGACGTCAAATGGCGCAAATGGAGCAAATAAAATCTCCAGAACATTTAATGACAAATAGCGGCTATGTTTTGATGCTTGCTTCAGCCCAGCCTTGAGTCATGAATACCGATCTTGTTTTCTTTTTGGTGTTCTGCAAAATTTGTTGTTCTTGGTTTGCAACCACGTGATAAGGCGGCCATGTTGGTGTTCAATACAATAGAGTTTTTTCTCGAAGAATGTACGTGAGTGTAAGTCTCTTCAATTTTTAAGGAAAAAAAATTCAGAAGAGCGTGAGTAAGAATCGAACCTGGAGCGTAGTGCCTGCAGTCCATCACCTACGCCACTACGCCACTACGCCACTGAGGATTACCTGTCGTGGATTGGTTTGATTTAAAGGAATATAGCAACAACCCTAACCCTAAATAGAAGCGAACCGTTTCGAGTGAGTGCTCATCCCAAATCACTATAGTCAGTTCTCGAAACCGAAACGGTAAGGAATACTACGTTGTGTAAATTTCAAAAGGTGTCCAAGGGGCTCACGACGGATTTTATTGAGGAACATTTTTTCCTTCCCGCCTTCCTTTCCGCGCAAATTTTTAGCGAGAAACGTCTGGGTACGAGAGAGGTTTTACATGGTCATCACTTGCAAACTTCGGGCGATTTTATTTTGTAACGGATAAATGTATTAACAGCTAGCTACTATGTAATGCGTTATTACAGGGATAAACACGACTGAGAGAAAAAACTCTGCTGGATCATTGCCAACGGTGAATTGAAAACTTAAAGAACTTACAACTTTGTTCTCTACTGTCTCTCTATGTGATCCTCCAGAGAATGTGACGGCCAAGGTGGATGCGCATGTCTCTGTATAATACGTAGAAAGACCGTGGTCACTAATGGCGCCAATTGATATGGTGTATATACTGGTAGTGTATCCATCACAGTTACAGTCGTCATCTGTTAGTCCTCCATTGCCAGTTGCCCACACATAAATGTTACCTTTACCTCCACGACCCTGGAGAAAAATAAAGGGTACTCAGCACGTTTTCTTAGTTTGCGATGATTTTGAATAAGTTGTTGAACCAGGAAATAAACAATGGTGCAAAACAAATCTAAAGATCTTCTTTTCAATTTTGTAATGCCGGAATGCTGAATTTGGTAAACAAGGCGATCTACCTTCCCCGGCAATTTGGAAGTCTTCAGCGAACGTCATGATACTCGAAAATAATATAAAACGCTTTACTGTTCTCAGGTTAACACATGTATGTAGTGTTCAACCTAGTTTGATCTAGAATTTGTTTGTTTCCCAGCCAAATTATTATTCTTAAGAGATGAAAGAAGTTCTCGTTTGAGGACAGATTTTACCTACAGAATACACACAACAGAGAATTAATAAACTCTGCTGGATCATGAGATGCTCGTAACGTAAATTAACGCAAACTTATTGCAAGGCTGGCAATGCGACACAACTGATCATCACAGCAATGATGAAAAGCTGACATTTCAAACGCCACTGATTCCTGCGTTAAAGTGAATCACCACGGCAAAAGGGTAATTTTATATCAAAATTGCACCAGAGAAAATGGCCTTTGTGCAATCACTTTGGTTTATTTCATGCACTAAACTAGCTCTAGGAAATGGAACAAAGGCAAGGGAAAGACAACAGCGAATAATAATAATAATAATAGTAATAATAATAGTAATAATAATAATAACTTTATTTCTATAGCGACCTATAGCGCTCTTATCCTATGTTCAAGGCGCTTTACAGTCATGTAAACAACATTATTGAAAAATATTTACAAATTTACAACCATATCCTATTATATTTACAATGAGTAAAAAAGGAAAAAATTAAAACTAAAGCAACTATTAAACCATTTCATTCATAATGATAAAAAAGGGAAAAATTAAAACTAACCCAATATATACAAATCTATAAAAACAATGATCCGTTATTACTGAATTTAGTAAACAAGTACGTCTTAAGTGATCTTTTAAAACTCGAGATGGTGTTGGACTTCATAAGGTATTAAGTTCCATTTTCTTGGTGCATGAGCAGCGAATGCTCTATCTCCGTAGGTCTTGGTATACGATCTAGGTTGCGTTAAAAGTTCATTGCTAACAGACCTCAATGATCTGGTATGAGAACGATAATGTAGTTTTTGAGCTAAATAGCTAAGCGATGTCCCATTCAGTGATTCATACACGAGGGGCAGAATCTTGAAAATAATACGATATTGAATCGGTAGCCAGTGAAGCTCACACAAAACAGGTGTGATATGCTGAAACTTACTCACTTGCAACACAACTCTAGCCGCCATGTTTTGTACATACTGCAATCTTTGTAACTGATACTTAGGTAGGCCGTATAGTAATGCATTACAGTAATCTAGTTTCGATGTGACAAATGCATGAACAGCAACTTCTGCTGATTCTTTAGTGAAATACTTCCTAATTCTAGATAGGTTCCTGAGATGATAATACGATGATCTGCAGATGCTAGACACATGAAGAGATCCAGCAGAGTTTATTAATTTTCTGTTGTGTGTATTTTGTAGGTAAAATCTGTCCTCAAACGAGAACTTCTTTCATCTCTTAAGAATAATAATTTGGCTGGGAAACAAACAAATTCTAGATCAACCTAGGTTGAACAACACATACATGTGTTAACCTGAGAACAGTAAAGCGTTTTATATTATTTTCAAGTATCATGACATTCGCTGAAGACCTCCAAATTTTTCTGCCTCGCTAAAGTGAGATGTGGAAAATGTCGTCCATCTCCTCGCGCCACTCCCTTGCCGCCCGTTGAAGAGGTGGGTGGTGGTGGGGGGGGAGGGTGCGAAGGGACGGATGACAATCAGTTTCAGACTACACACCATGGAGTTTCTCTCAGTCAAAAGTCAAGAATATGGCACAAAATTGTATTATTACCCGCTCAGCACCAATTTTTAGCGCTTTGCCAGCCAAGTAACCAGGTTTTCCAAATCTCGTTCCATCATCTTTTGGGCCCCAACAGCAGCTATAGATGTCGATGTAGTCGGCGCGATAGCTTAGGGAACTCCCCTCAATTGTGTCGGTAGCTTTACCATCTAACATACGAATACCTTTTAAAAGAATTCATGACAGATTAAACATTATCATTATTAGGGCAAAAGTTTGAATAAGGGCTTTTAAACTAGTGTGCGACGGTGCTGAAATTGAAGTCATGAATGATTTTTCTTTGAAAAATGGGAAGGGGACGCTATAAGGGTATGCAAGTAAGTTTAAAGCAAAAAAAAATCTGACGGTGTTGAAGACGTAGACTGGTTATAGCCACCTATATTTGCGTACCGAAATCGAGTGCTTATTGTAAGGCCGCCCTAATCTCGTACCCGACCCATTTTTTTCGAAAAGAAAAAAAAAATATCCAGATTCACTAGTCAAAGTAGTCTGCTACACAGCCGTTTTTAGTGTCGTCACGCAACGCTCCTTCCTCCCCACAAACGGCTACTGAAAACCGAACTACATTCCTTTCCCTTTGTGTCTGTGGTCTAACGAACAAGCCAATCATGTATAAGAGATTTGACAATACCTGAGCCGCAGGGCGCTAGGAAGCGAGCACGCTTTTCAGTTTTCGACAAATCAATCAATGGTCGCTGAATTTAGACGGGCCCTGTGTTTTTAAGCAAGGAAAAGGTTAATTTGCAAAAAAGTTGGTTTTAAGCTGTCAAGAAAGTTCCAAGTGAAAAAAACGTTTGATAAGCGTAGAAGACTTTTACCAGGATGGGTTGGTTCTTCATTTAACGTGCATATGTACTGATTTAATGTGCCGGGTGTGCTGATTGTGTTCTGTGAAGACTAAACTCTCCAGGGTACTGATTAAAAATGCAATCTTATAAATTATCTATGAGCGATTTCTGAAACTATACCTGGCAACTTTATGAGCACATCCATGTTGTGCATCGCAATTTGCTCGACTTGCTTGCTTTTGCTGCTCATCTCCTAAATTTTGAATAGGACTCGACTACGACAACACTACGGTAGTTAATTGCTTGTTTTCATGCGACGATTTTGATTAATCTGTCATTCACACATTGAGCACCGATAAAAACAAACCTGTGATTGAAGGAGTCACAGTGCCGCAAACGTGGCGCGAACACCTAGCTGAATTATGATTGGCTAATCATGGGAAAGGAATGTGGTTCGGTTTTCAGCAGCCGTTAGTGGGGAGGAGCGTTGCGTGACGACTCTAAAGACGGCTGTGTAGCAGACTATAGTCAAAGAAGCAAGCACTTTAATGTACAAGCACACGATCTTGTTTTATTAACAACAATTTATATGATGTGATGTCCTTGTCTTTAATTAACATCGACACTACGTTTTTTAAAGGCTGTTTAGACATTTGATATAGACCACGTTTTCGAGTTGACTTTCTAACCAGGCTTTCTTACTTGGCAGCCCGGCCTTCTCTGGAACCCAGACCCCTTGAAGTGTTCATTCTATTTTTTTTTTGGCTCGACCGAACGGCCCACCATCACAAGAGACGGGGCGACGGGAAACGAAACATTTTGTTGGAATGGCCTAAGGAGCGGAAATTTCAAATCAGTGTACCATGGGGAAGGGAATCAAATCTCTCTCTCCGCTATATATCGCGACATCCGGATCCTCAGTATTTTTGAACTTAAGACGACGGCACATTTCAGTAATGGCTCGATCTCGATGATCTTTTTTAAAGCGGACAAGTAGGAGACTGTAAGCAGTTTGCTCGAAACTCCAGTCTTTGATTTTGTAATGCATAAATATAAGATGATTTCACCTCCAATGCTTGCATTGAAAGACACTCCCACTCCGCAGATGCCATTATCCGCTTGGGCTGCTACCTCTCCTGCGCACTTTGTGCCGTGACTACAGAAACATACGGTAGGTCAATCAAACAGGAATCAATTGTAAGATTAGTTCCGGAAAATTTCTTACAACCTACATTTCATTCATTTGTATTTTTTTTTTACCAGTTTTCCAGGTTATCGTCACGTGGTCTTGGATCCCCATCAAAGTCATTGAAGTCAAAACTTGCGTCAGCATCCTATAGACAATGGATTGAAAATACGACGCGATGAATTTCAACGTAGCATGTTGTCAACGATAAAAGTGAAAAAATGTTTTTTTTAAATTTTGCTTATTTACCATTTACGAAGGCAAACCGTTAGCTTGGCGGTGTGGGCAGATTGTAAGCAAATTCAGGACTGGTAAATTTCGTTGAACTAATTGCGCAAAAGAGAAAAAGCCGCGAAAGCCTGAAACTGGTATCAATGATGAATTTTAAGAATTGGAACAAGAATTTCCCTTTGTACATTCCGTCCGGGGAGAACAGGAATACCTTTTCAGAAGCTCTATTGCTCCGGGAAATTTTTCACTGGAATAACCCCAAAACCTTGTCGTGTTTCATTTACTTTCTAAAAGGATTTTTTAGAAACGCTTTGCAAATGGCAAACCAGCCATGGCTTCGTTTGGGTAAGGGGTCATATTTCAAGGGTTTATACTACTACATGAGGAATTTCTGCAGTTTGATTGGCTTAGAGCAGTGGTATTTCAGCTCAATCTGAAATACCTACATGTGAAAATAACAAACCTTTTGCGAGTAGTAGTATAAACAAATAATGGCATGATTTGTACGTTATATTTGGCATAAATACCCCTTATGATATTTCAAAATTGTCTCAAATTTCACTCGCGTAACGGCTCTTAAAATTACGTATAACAATTTTGAAATATCACATGTGGTATTTATGCCAAATATCACTACAAATCATGCCATTACCTATACTAATATCACTGGCTAAGCCCGAAACATCCTCTCTGAATTTGTATTATCGAACTTTCTATTACAGAGCGAAGTGATACCGTGTCAAAACCTCCTTATTCTTAAAGTATAACTTAGTCTATATGAGGGGTTTCACGGTCATTTCCAAGCCTTTTGAGGCCCGAATAGCTATAAAGTGCCTCAAGTCTAATCACACAGACACGTTCACGCTGTTTGAGACAGCTAAGCTAGGGTTCAAACTTTTGCGATGTTCTTTACTTTTATTCTAGAGTGTAAGCCATTAGGAAATCTGAATTCAACTAACACGCTTGTGAAATGTTTATAAGGTTTCGATGTTGGTGGAAAAACTCACGTAGTTGTTTTTCAGGTCGGGGTGACTGTGATCAACTCCTGGAAATGAAAAAAAAAAAAAATCATATAAAGCCTTGATTATTGTGGGCGACAAGAGGAGCCCGCAATCTTAATCTAGAGCTGCAGGTTGCTATGACGAATTAGCCAGCTTTCGTTTGGACTTCACTAAGAATAAATGGGATGTACAGAGCGTATGTGCTCTGATCAAGCGCTTCGGACCCTCTATCACTCGAAATCTGATAACACGCATTTTGACCATCTACAAGCTTGAAATTTACACAAAGCACAGCATTGGAGCAAGAGCGTATTGACCTTCGATAGATTTCGCCCACACGCCCTAATCTTTGGTTATTACTTGTGTAGTAGCTATTATAAGTTTCCTTTTAACACGGTCTCGTGTCATTATCTGACCAAAAAACTCAAAGTGAACTTTTTGAAACTTTGTTCGCATTTTGTCAAGATAAGTATATAGCATTAAGGTTAACGGGGTGTGCAAAGAAAATCAAAATGTTTAAAGAAGCAGGCTTGACACGCATATTTCGCTGTTTGTGTGTACTTTTTTAAAAAAAAAAAAAAAACGTTTTACCAGAGCTAACGTTATTTTCCCGTGTTAAGTTTTTTCACTAAAATATTGAGGAAAATGTCAACAGTTTTAAAGTTAAAGTTATCTATTTAAATTTGCTACCAAAGATAAATGTACGACGTCTTCTTTGTTCATGATTAAAAGTTCAACTCAGTTAAGTGTTCTGTTAACTCGGTAGCTTTCCATCGTAACATCCGTTCATGTTTTCTTTTTTTGTTTTCATACCACCGCTATGCAATTTATGCAAGACTTATTTTACATTTTTATTTAAATGTCATTTAAAATAACTTACCGTCATCGAGGACCGAGACCACTACTCCTTTACCAGAATATCCTTGAGCCCAGACTGGTAAAACGTTGATATCAATTCCCCGGGGTCCAGAAGATTGTCCGATGTTTTGCTGAGGAAAAAATAACAGGAAGAATTTTCTCAAAAACAGTTAAGTTATCACAATTGAAACTCTTACTGGAAAGCTACAATAGTCCACCACTGAATGCCGAAGCTACATCGTAGTTGCTTTGCTTTGCCGATGATACGCTTTGTGATTGGTTAAAAATAAAAACTCACGCCACTTTGCCAACATCAGAAGTCACGGTGGCATAAAGAGCATGCCCGCGCTTGACGGTGGTTACATTAATTCGATTCAATTTCCGACTGGTCAACTGTACTGTCTGTGACTGTTGTGATTACATGTAGTTCCTTAATTTCACGTCTTCTTTTCATGCTTCGTTTCTTTATTTCTCGTCTGATTTTACTACACGATGTCAAGGAAGCTTTGTGGTTCCCTTTTGCTTCCTATCATAACAGCATATAGAGCTCTACCGAAAGATACATGAGTACATGTTCTTTAACCATCATGTTGATGCTGGGCTCAAAACAGGTGACGACGAAGTAATTGAGGCTGTTGAGAACTTCAACTTGGTTCATGGATCAGTGACACAGAACATGATTTTGAGGTCAGAAAGGCTTCAGCTTGGATAGCTCGCAACAAAATGGAAAAAATTGTGGAGCTCAAAGCTGTTACAAGCATCGAAGATCAAACTGTTCCAAGCGACTGTGGTGTCCGTCTTTTCACGGATCTACTTAAAGTTGTTATTTTTCATAACGTCATTTTATTGCTTTGGTAACTCTCATGTCAACAAAATGGTACTCATAAAATATATTTTCTCCTTATATGACATCGCTGGGGTGGTCATTTTCCAATATCTTTGCTAATGGCGACGTAGCTTATGTTTAAACTTGGAAGTTATTGGCCCTGGAAACTGATCCGGTCGAGTCACCTTAAAACAGAGTCATTCAATCGGGACGTTAATCCGTCATTCGTGAATTCTCTCTAATAGAGGGCCTGCTTTAACTCTATGGTTACTGAATTAAGAAAGGTCTTTTGTTAATGAATCATGCGCGACTTCTCCCGTTAACACGCTATCTTTGGATTCCAGTTCGATGCACTTGCTCATTTGTGAAAATTTATGTTTGAAATATTCAGTACGTACTAGGTACCACTGATCTTTGTAGAAAGGATCGCGTATTGTGACAGCGGTGTCCCGTCGCAGTCTTGCTACCGCCCTCTCCACCAGTTCGTCCTCTCCTGGTATGACGTCACGCTTGCTTCGTTCCAGAATCCTTTGCTGTTCTACCCATTTCACCTGTGAAGAGTGTAAGACTAACTTAAAGGACCAAAAGTCAAAAAATAAAACATTACTCTTTTCTCAAAACCCTGCACTGCCGAGCATATCACTTTTAACTAGTCCGATCTGATTGGATAGTCGTGATTAATAGCGGAAATTTCTTTACAACTGGCCGGCGAGTTTAAGCAAATGGAAAGCGCCCTAAGATGCCCGTAAGTTTGTATATATATCCCTTATTACACCCACAAACGAAAGTTTTGCAGGGAAACTGCCCTTCGGTAGCTCTGTATTTGTGCCACTCCATCAATCTTAGGGTTTTATTTTTCATTGGTTAGCTAAAAGTTGGCATTTCATTCTTGCCTGAAGCACTGTGCATTCCTACTAGGGTGTGCATTCTTCTTTTTCTTAAGGATATAATCACTATTTATCCGAGGGCCTGGGCAGAGAGCACTAATCGAAATGATTGGTTGCCTTGCAATTCTCCAAATCCTAACTCTATAGATCAGACCAAAATTTTGCGTCTGGGCTTAATTTCTCATCCCAATATTCTGTTACGAAGCGGTAAATCAATCACACCGACACGATCACAGCCCCAAAATATGCCCTTGGGTACAACGAACACCTTTTTCTCCCGCATTTTTTGTAGTTCTAACCGTTTGCGTCTATGGATGAAATCCTATGGTGTAACAATTCAAGTCAAACCTCCTCAGCAGTACTTTCACATGCTACTATCTATTTAGTGAGTAGATCTAACTTTTGAGTCTGTGGATGAAATCCTATGGTGTTACCATTCAAGTCAAACTTCTTTAGCAGTACTTTCACATGCTACTATCTATTTAGTACGTAGATCGAACTTTTAAGTTTGTGGATGAAATCCTATGGTGTGACTATTCAAGTGAAGCCTCTTCAGTGGTCGGTGCTATTTATTAGTCGTTGTTCTAAGATTCTTGAGTTTGTGATCAAATTTTTCTGATGTGACCATTCAAATGAAAATTCTTTATCAGTACTCTCACATGGTGCTATATGGTTTATTGCTTAGTGTTTTAGAAGATGTAACTTGGGATTTTTGTTTTGCTTCACTGAGGGTTAAGTTACGCTCCATATAATTAGCACGTCTCTTCAAGCTGGTTACCCTGGCTTCAGTGAGCCGTGACTCAGGAAAACATTTTATGAAAACCATTTTGATTTTGTAAAGCATTTCCCTTGGCAACTTTCTCTATATGATTTTTTTTTCAGTATAGAATGAGGGATGTGTTATAAGCGAATATGACGATTAATTAGTTTTATTGTCTTCTAGTCAACATCCACCAGCAACACACCAAATAATGATAAAAGACACAGACACTGGAAATCTTACCCTAGGCTCGGATAACAATGTTTCGCTATGTTCGTCCAAACTTCTGCGCGATCTTTCCCCCACGGAGTGTTTGACAAAGTGATAATAACCCGGAAGACTTCCTATCTAGGAAAACAAAACATCATCTAATTTAATGGCAGGTTTATCATTGACGGTTGTTGATCCTTAAAACGTGACACGATTTCTGGTACCTTGCCTCTTCTCGATAACATAACAACCGGTCGCCGGAAACACTGCCCTCGACTAAACAACAAACTAAGCGTTTGAAATTTCTCGCAGAGTTGGCCCTCATTTACAACATGAATTACGTTATATTTTAAAATCACGTGCTCCAGAATATTGCACAGAGCTCTAGAGAATTTCACCTACCTGTCCTTGATTTACAAATCCGTGTTTTTTGGCAATATCGTTTACAAGATCGATGTCATCATTTTCGATGTGGACTGCCCAAGAGTTGGTGAAGTGGACGTCTTCTCCGCTTTCTTCGTTCGTGGTTGCTAAAGCAATCCAGGCCAGAAGAAAAACGGCCGCGGAAGCTCGCATATCGATGCGCTAGACATTGGGGATATCGTTTCCTTAATATTGCGCGGGAACCTTCTGACATTAAGTGCCGACCGGTAATTTCTTATTCTTACTCAATATAACCAGCCTCACTTTCATTGCCTCTGATTCATATTACTGTTTCCCTTTTAAGGTCATTGCAAACAAAGCGCGCGAAAGGCAAACACATAACGAAAGCTTGTTTGTTTCTTTGGATATAGAATCGTCGACAGTTATCTGATGGGAATTAAAGCAACAAAATTATCTACGGTTCTTTAAATTCAGTTACTCTCCTTTTAAGAGAATTCACTGTTTGACTGATTTGAAACTTGGAACTGAAGTGCCAACTCTAATCTCGCTGCTTCTCATAACTTGAATTTGTTGCGGCTCAAACAGCTTTAACAGGATTCACTTAACAGGTTAAGAAAAAAAAATCCACAACACGTTACTTGGGTGAGATCAAAATGCCCCCAATTTGTTTTTACTTAAGGGCTCTCGTCACTGACCGGTCTATCAGGACTTGTTTTGCCACTGACAATCTGTAATTTTTCGTAATAATTTTCGGCAAAATGAACTGAATGTCAAGAAAATGAGCTTGCCAAGATGGCGAAACTTGTTAATTACGCCATCTCGATCTAACTCGACCTGACATCCAGTGCTTTCCCGCACAACTTGAAAATGTGACTGTGATTGTTAGCAGAAAATGATTGTAAGCTGTTGAATTGCTGTAAGTTTCACAGTTTTTGCAATTTGAAGAGGTGTAATTTTAATCCATTGAAGATATTCTCCACTGTCATTAGTAAAGAAGATTCGTTTTGTTTATAAGAGTAGCTTAATCGGTGACCCACATTAATTTTAGGTCGAATGTTTTGCCGTTGAAGCATTTGTGTCGTGTTGATCAGGGCGCGCGTTAACAGCTGATGCGGAAACATATCTGCCTCTTTCAAGGGCTTAGAGACTGCTACGCACAAGTAAGCGTGACAGCATCAAGGCGCTGGCGTGTCCAACCAACTTATTCGACCTTAGAAGGGAGAAGATATCTCCTTCGCTGGTTTTCTATGCTTGGATGCATCGCTGTGCTGACAGGTTGATATGGTTCTAAAAAAAATTAAACGGTTCGATAGTTTTGTGAATTAACACCGGTTCTCCATTCGTTTATTCGTACATATCACCTATTATAAGTGCAACTGAACTAATGTATGTCATGTAATAACGAATTCCTCTCCCACAACAGACATTCAATATGCAATGGGAAGATCAAACTGTAACTTGAACTTTTTAATAGGTACAAATATAACCAACTCTAAGAATGAAACTTTTGAAATAACCTCACGCTTTTGTATTATGAAGGACTGGCCATTGTATTTTACTAAACATGAATGACTCCAAGCAAATGCAAAGCGAGAAGCAGTAACATGCTGAGACACTTCTTTTAAGCTTATATTAAATTTTGAGATATAATAAACACCGTAACTTAAAATAGCTTGCTGGTGCATTTGCGAGAGATGATATTTGTAGAGAGTATCGACCGACTAAAAAGCAGTGCGACTGGTTCTTTAACCCTTTAAGCCCCAATATCCACATACACATTCTCCAGACTGATCTCTATACATCTTCAGAAAGAATATGTTGAGAGAATTTGATGAAAGATCAAGGCATTTCCTCTAAGGTGATCATTTTATCAATTTTCATAACCTAATCTCTTGACAATGTATGGATATTATTAGGAGAAAATTGATATTGGTCACCACTGGGACTTAAAGGGTTAAAGAAAAAATGGTTCACTAGCTCCATTGATACTCTACATTTATGCTAGTCAAAGGCTCCAAATAGGCATGCTGCTCGAGAAAAACCCAGTGTTACTAGAGGCAATGTGACGTTACTTCCTGAACTATAGAGGTATCTCAGCAGTATGTCAATATCGAGTTCCATTAACTTAGTTAACAAGGGAGGTGCAAGCCCTTTGTAAAGGCTTTTGAATACGTATTTACAACTTATATATAGACGAAAGGTCCTTTAGTTGTATTAAGAATTCTCTTTTACTGAGCCAATTAACGAATAGTTAACCCCTTCGTTAATTTTTGTCTTTGTATGTCATACCCTAGGCTTACTTTTTCCTGGTAGTGTAAATTTTATTTCATGTGTTCTCTTCATACTTGGAACTAAATCGAAGCTTCGAAGCCATATTTTTGCCAGCTAAACGTTCAATTATCTGGATTTCATTGCAAATATCTATACATTCAACAAATTATGTGATACTATCTCTCTATGGATTGTTTCTGTAGACGGTCGGTTTTCTTCTTACGATGGAATAAAAAGAAAAGAAGAAAAAGTTGCCTTTGAAAAGCTTACACAAGATATGAAAACTACGAAATATTTCCCTGATAAACGTTAGAGAAACAAAAATCATCTGACAAACGTTTTTAATCCAACATTTTTTTTTAAACTAAAACCACTAAGCGTATTTATTTGATTCTTTCTAATCTTGACCGTTCCGAAGCAAAAACGCTTACGTTTATAAATTATAAAGATAAGGAATGTTTTTTTTCTGCGATTTACTGTTGCAGCAATTAGGTCTACTTATTCAAGAGATGTAAATACCTGTTATTTAGTTCCATATTAAAGCAAATAGATTTCTTGACTAGGAACGTAATGTTCGATGAACCATTTGACGTAAAGTTAATGGTCATGTCATGCGTATCTTGCACTTGTTTTAGACTCATGAAGCGCGAATTAAACCTGGAACATCCTCTTTGCTATTTACGAAAGCAAGGAACCGATCACAAATAATGACAAGATGATTCCCGGTGTCCAAATATTTTTGCTGTGTTCACATTGCTGTAACGGAAAGCGCAACAAACCGAGGAAAGAGTAGGCTCGTCTTTTAACCTTGAAGTTCTTATTCAGTTTTAAACTGCATGATCTTATTAGGAAAATGAAGGCTGTGTAGCATGCTTCAATGCATTGGCCAGACCGAATACGGTTATTTCATGCTCAGTAGTCCCTGCTAGGCTACAGGCTTATCGAGGTAGTCAAGAGCCGATGAAGACTACGGTTACTTCAACTGTGCTGCAGGCCGCCCCTTGAACTCGTTCCAGCCGAAGAGGGAGAAAGAAGCCTAGAAAGCTTGACCAAACAAGAAATTTTTTAGTGATAGACAGTTAGAGATAGATGCATCCAGTTTCAGGTTTTTCACATATAACTTTGCATCCACTAAGCTGAAATACGATAATGCTTAAAATACTGAAAACATGAATGTAAGCTATTAGTGAAGAAAAGTGATAAGTGATAAAAACTATTCTCAACAATGGTGGTCAGTTAACATTTACGAGCGGATGTCAGTAAATGTCGACCAGAGGTCTACAAAAGTGAAAAATCGAAAATTCTCAAAAAAATTCACAAAGTAGCACTAGATAAGCTATTAACATAAATGTAATTTTTACTTCGATCCGATAATTATTTTCCACGTACGGGGGGGTTATTGGTTTCGCGGCTCTCGCACCTGGTTTTCCAGGCCCGAGACCATGTGTCACAAAAAAGTCGTTTTAAAATTTAAATTCATTGTAATGCGGACAACAAATAACTTATTCAGAAGAGTACATAATTGCACACATTTTATGTGGTGATTTTCTCAGTTTGAACAAAAGTGTAATATTTTGGAGATTTTTCATTATTTTCAATATTTTGAACGTTTTCGTTCAATGAAAAAATGGCAAATTTCAAAGCCCCAAATCGTCGACTGGTACCTCGATTTCAGTAACGAGTCTTATACTATGTTAAAGAGCGTTATCTCTTCTTTGAAAATCTGTTTTCAAAACTATGGGCAACTTAAAAGAAAATTTTTGAGGCCAAAAAATACAAGTAATTCTTTTCTGAAATTTGAGCTTTCCAGACTTGGCGGGCCGATGCTAAAAACTCAGAAAAATGCAATAAGAAATCAGTTTGAGCAACAGTGGTTTCATGTTATCAGCTTTCAGAAACCAAGACGTGTTTATACTGCGATCTGATATAAATTATTGCCGTTTGCTATCAAGAGAGGCAGATTTAAGCCGTCAACTCCTGCCAAGTGCACCAGTCACGTGAAGTTGTCAAGGGAGGGCAAAGCACTAATATTAAAAAAACGTTTTACGTCCATGAAATCAGATTTTAGCGTACAATACAATGTTGTGAATGTCTGTTGTCCGTACCTTAGCATGGTGTTTCAATATATTGGAAATGTCAAGTATCCACACGGGAGAACATACCAAACAACAACGTTTTAAATCCAAGCGCCGAAAGATCGTAAACGGCAAAGATTGCGTTACATTTCACAGAACGACCGCTTACCACTGTTGTCACTCCTTTTTTCGCTGAAAGTTACGAGGAGTTTTCATTCCGTCATGAGTGATTCTTGATCAGCGCTTCCTTGAAAGTACGACCCCGGACAGATGATAACTGAGGACGTTTCGTCAAGACTCCTGTTGTTCAGTTTCAGGCTTTAGCAGGTGCGTAGTCAGGATTTTCCGGAGGTACGCCCAACTTTTTGTACATCGCCTAACCCCCTCCCCCCCCCCCAACCCAAATCTCAACATTTTTTAAAGATACCTTTATTAAAGGTGGGGTTAACGGTTGTAAGCAAAAGCATTTTTGCTGTTTATGAAATGACACAACCTCTAAAATTCTTTAATTCTGTCGGCTTGTTGTGTTCATTGACGTCAACCGTTTATCATAATTAATTCAGCTATTGAAATCAAGCTTGTAGTACCTCCGACTTTAGTTTACAAATGACTCTTTTTACCCCTTTTTGTCACATTATTTTTGACCGACAAAAGCACCACACATTGACGTAATTGTGCCCTACTTCGTCTACTCCGAAGACAGGTCGTGGAGAAAACAACGCGTTCACGCTTTACATCATCAAGCTTGCTATATAAATAAATCATCTAAGATTCGGTTGTCCAATCTACGTCGTCGCTTCTCTGGAAACCGACTTTTTTAGTTATGTTTATTTCATTCTATTTTTT